CATAATTAAGTTCTTAGCTTCATTATTAACCCGGGAATTTCGGTGATTTATAACGAGCTGAACTCACAACCACAAATAAGTCAATTATGTTGAGCAATGTTTTATAAAAACTTTCAACAACAATATCTACCTCAGTGCACTCAGATATGCAACTCTAATCTACATATTTACGACAAGTATAGATTGATTTGCCTTAATAATGGACTTGCACTAATCGTAACAGAAACATCTTTGTGGTCCAAGAACAATAAATCCAAATTATATCCATACCTGTTCGGAATTTGTATATTTTGATGCAGAGCAAGATAAGCCATCCAATCTGCAATTAATGTAACTTCCTTTAACAAGGACCGAATTGGACTGGTTCCATTTGCACTATTTACCCCCTGAGCAATAAATCTGTAAAGTCATGCTGGTCCGTTAATTGAACATTTGAAAGGCAGAAACTTTCATACACCTCAACAGGATGAAGATCTAGGAATATATGCATTTCCAATATTAATTTTATGAGATCCAATAGACAACACAACCAAAAGATGTTCTACATTATTTATTGGTGCAGTGAATTGTTGACACATTGACACGAGAGGGCATTTTTTATAGCAATCAACACCCCACCCTGTGTAACACATTGACTTGTTTCTTCTGACCTATCACAGCAAAGGACACAGTAACCATCGAGCCCTAGCTCACTGGACAATACACTAGGATCCAAAAACGTTTCCGAAAGCAAAATAACATCAAAATTCTCAACTAGAACATTGCACGTCAAAGTTAGGATTTTGGATTTAATTCGTCGTAACATTTTGATAGTCGAATGTTAAGGATTTCTGGGGTTCTCCTGCAGACGTTAAAAATTTGCAGTGTTTGTTGTCTCTTTCCTGACTCTAGGCTTGGGAAACTCGAATGGTCGAAACCTTAGTAGGCCAAAAGTTGCTGTCATTAAGTTTATCATAAAAAGTTTCACAAATTCCCACCTTGAAGCACTTTGAGTTTGCTTTGGTTGGCAGCTCTTCAATTACCAACAGCTTATTATTTGGCAATTGGGCGTTGTCTTTAATATGATCAAAAACAATTTTTTTTGTTACACTATTATCAATCTGCCCCAAAAAGATCCACCTTTTCCCAGGTCGTTTAGGCTCTGCGAAGTAGGCAGGAACCCTTGAATAACAAAAGTTAAATTTTACGTAATTAGCAACCCTTGTATTTTCTAAAATATTTCGAATTTTTGAAATCGCCTGTTTACTTCACACCCAGCAGGAATAAGGGAAGCACCAACGTTAAATTACAGATAAATGGTCAGTGCTTCAATGTGCTCCAATCTCCAAATTAGCAACCTTTGTATTTTCGGAGATATTTCCGTTTTTTTTAAATCGCTTGCTCACTTTACTCCCAGCAGAGACAAGGGAAGCACCAACGTTCAGATACAGATAAATTGTTAGTGCTTCAATCCCCAAATTAAGAATCCTTAAATTTCCAGAGATATTGCGGATTTCAGAAATTGCCTGGCTACTCCACACCCAGCAGAAACAAGGAAAACACCAACGTTCAGTTGTTGATGAATGACTAATGTTTCATTAGTGCTTCATGATGCCCCACATTAGCTTCTAGCAACTCTTATACTTCCAGAGATATTTCGTCTTTTTGCAATCGCCTATGGATTTCACCCTATCAGGGCCGCTTCAATTTGCTTCAATCCTCAAATTAGCAACTTTTGAATGTTCAGACATATAGGTACTGGTTTTTAGAAATCGCCTACTTAATTTACACATAGCAGGAATATTGGAAGCACCCATCAAAATACCAAAGCGTATAATATAGGTAGATGGAAAAAAAGTTCAGATTCAAAACATGTCCCTTCGATACACTAGTTCAATGCTTCTCAAGTGCTATCTGCGATTCGAGTGATGGCGTTCAACAATTCATTACTGCTCAAAGTGAGCCACCTTTTTTTTTCCTTCCTTAGGGCCAAATTATGGACCAACTGGTAAGTGTCTGGTTGTTACCTAGCAGGTACTTTCTATTCTCTAGTTCATAGAAAGTACCTGCTAGGTAACAACCAGACGTTTACCAGGCAGTCCATAATTTAGCCCTTAAGGAAGTTTTGAAATATGGAGAAATCTTTAGAATAATCAGTTAAGACTAAGAGCTCTACAGAACAACGATCTTCAAGAAAACTACTTTGCCAATCAGTTCTACTATACTTAATTGAATTCAGAATATCTGCAACGTGACCAACTGTTTTATTGATAGTTACACATTTATTCTAGATGTGACTATTTCAAAGAGCAAAAAGTGACGTCATTTGTCTTGGAATTTGAATGGATCCAGAAGATACATGAAAAAGGATTCCAAAATTTGGAAGTGTTGGTAAGTCATCAAAAGATGGAAAGGAGAGTGAAGACATGCTAGTACTGATCTCAATATAACATTTGTGAGAAAATGAATATAATGGATGGTCAAAAGAGAAACTGAGGCCCGGTTTATTCACACTACGGAATTTAAATTAAGAAATCCCCAAATAAAAATCATAGGATATTCTAATAATCAGGAAACTACATTGGAGGAACTTGAATAAAAAATCAAAACCAGTTTTTCTTGGAAACTGAAACTTTTAAGATAACTTATATAAAAACCACCAAAGCAAACAATACAATTATTTTATTATTAAGTTTATTATCTGACGTATACAAAACGCAATCTATAATACTCGGCCAGTTATACGTCGACCAATAGGATTATCAATTGGCAAATTTGTCTTTTAGATAGTTGCTAGTAGTTACGTATTATCGGAATATGAGTAAACCGGCCCGGCATAAGGAAGCAATTAGTATCTACTGATCATATTTATAAAAAGTAATTCAGACCAACCAGAGTTTATGATGATCATATTCTTGGTTCTCGGCTCTCCATAGGCGATTGCAAAAAGACGACATATCTCTGGAAGTATAAGAGTTGTTAGAAGCTAATGTGGGGCATCATGAAGCACTAATGAAACATAAGCCATTCATCAACAAGTGAACGTTGGTGTTTTCCATGTTCCTGCTGGGTTTGAAGTAAGCAGGCGATTTCTGAAAAACGGAATATCTCTGAAAATATAGGGGATACTTATTTAAGAACTGAAGCACATTGATGCATTTACTATCATCTGTAACTGAACGTTGATGTTTTCCTTGTTCCTGCTGGGTGTGAAGTAAGCAGGCGGTTTCAAAAAACCGAAATATCTCCGAAAATGCAAGGGTTGCTAATTTGGGGATTGAAGCACATTGGAGCACTAACGATTACGTAAAATTCAACTTTTGTACCCCAAGTGTGCCTGTCTACTTCACAGAGCCGGACGTTTATTAATTTGAAATTCAAATTATGTCTTCGTGGGGTTTTATAGGGTCTTTTTCTAGTGTTTGTTTTAATTTTGCTGCGAATTCTTTTTTTTTTGTGTTTTACTGGTATGTGTGCCTAATTTCATTTGGGGGTGGTTGAATTTCCTTTGCTCTTTCCATTCTGCCTTTATTGTTACTTTACCTACATATTATAGCCAAATGTAATTGAACTTTTTGTCAGTAACTCACATACACTTATAAATGTAAGACAAAAAAGCATACTAACTAAATATAAACGTTAATTGAAAAAAATTGCGTCTGAATTTAATGTGTGAAAACCGCGGAAACTTTTGGTTTGAAAAACATAATGCCCTTCTATAAGCCTTTAGACGGGTTTATAATAAATAAACTTTCTTTAAAATTCTGCAAACCACCCATTGATATCTTGATTAGTTTGGAATATATTTGATTCTAAAGATAACCTAAAAACTCGCTTGTTCCGCTTCATTTGTCCAACAGTTCAATTCAATAGCTTTGTATAGAGAATTAGTGTTTCCATACAAGAAGTAAATCATTTTTGATTTTGACTTTCCTCCCATACTTTCTCTGCACTTTCTTCGGTGAATTTTAAAACTTGCAAGCTCGTTTTCCCTCGGTTTTCAATTTATACAAGAGCTAAAAGTATATTAATGAAAATTGAATTGTTAATTACTATTAATTTAATAATTAGGATAAATCTCATTGGTTATTTTATTGAAAATGTATCTACAAGACATGTTAATTTGGACCAGACAAATATTTTTCTTTCTTGAGTTTAAAAATAGAAATTACCACAATTTTCAAAGTCAATGTTATTTTTAAGTACACCAGGGCATGGTTCTTTAAATTAGGCAGGAATGCATTCCAAAAATAACTCCCAATAGAAATACCTAAAACCTAAAAATACCCTTTAGGGCGGGTATTATAAAACTGTTTTGACAGTTAACTTGAAGTTAACTTTTTGAATTACATGTATTTTCAGAAGTTAACTTTAAGTTTACTCTCAAAGTAGTTTTATAATACCCGCCCTTAATGTGTATTTAATCATCTGTTTCCTGAACTGATACTTATTATCACTGCAAACCCAACCCATTAATAGAAGGTATAGAGAAAGCAGAATATTATCTTAGACATGCCCATATAAAAAAATGTCAATCTAGGTCTATATTACCATCTTGCCATATTATTGACAAACTGTCTGCAATGATATCTTATACGTTTCGTCGAGCAACTTATTGCATGCAAAATTAAAGTATTGATTGCTTCAACAGTCATTAACCTCCTTTCTTTCAAGACGTTGTTAGTTATCGAGCTTCAATACATATTTTATTTTGTGAAAATAATAAAAAATTGTATTTTAAACTAAAAAATCTAAAATAAAAAGAATAATTTCACTGCTTGGCAAACAGTTAACACAATAACACACAAATTAAAAGGCGTTTAATCGAGAAATGTTATTATAAAAACAAACAGAGCGTGCATCCATGAAGAATTGCACGCTTTTGTTTAGTATTACGCTCATTTAAATTACAAATACATACCAACCAGCTAGCAACGAGTTTTATTAACATTAAAAATATGAGATTCTTAGTATTGTATTTTGTTTATAGAATCTCCTGTTTAATTAGTTATTGGTTTCAGATTGGATAAATTTGTATTACCGAAATGACTGACACTAGTACGGCGGACGAGCTGCCGCCACAAACCAACGGCATCAACAATGGGATTTTGGACGAAGACGAACAGGAACGTATGCGTATCCGTCCAGTGGAGATTGACGCTGATGTGCGTGAAATGGAACGAAGAAAACGAGTCGAGAATATTATGAATAGCAGACTTTTTAGAGAGGTAACTTTACATCTTTGTATTATAATAATTATTGCAATTCATGGCCAGCCCAAGACGTTTGTGCACATTAAGGGGAAAATTTGCCAACTTTCAATTCAGTGGAGGATGGGCTAAATAATACACAAAGTCTTCATCTTCTTCATCAATTCAACTATTATCTATTATTTTACAGGAATTGGAAAGGATAATAGAAACACAAATGAGGGATGGTTCAGGCGCTAGCGCTACAGGGCTACTGCAACAGATCTCGGATATGGTCGGAGTGAGCAAGCAAGCTGGCAACGTTTTTAAAAATTCCAATTGTGTGATACCAATTAATGACATTCGAGGTAAGAATCTAACAATTAAAAAGTCATTACCAAACCTATTAAATTTGCTATTAAGTAAAGTAATAAAAAAATAATCAGGTTCTATTATACTTTATATATTATTGTCTGAAATGAAGAGTTTAAAGAAGATTGTTTGTAGTCGATTCGCAAATGCTGAAATAGATCTAGGTTTAGCCATATACTTTTCCAGTAAACCGCGCACGCGGTAATTATTGTACCGTTGCGCGTAAAAATGGATCCGTTTATTCAGTTTTTAGTCGAACAACTTTCTCGTCCGAAGGAACGGTAGTTTTTAATTTCAGAACTAGCAAACAGACACGATGTTGATGATGTCGAAAGCCCGTTCCGACAAATTATTAGGAAGAAATGACTCAGCGCGATGTTATGTAATTCGTTTTTGTTGCACGATGGCCCGGAGGTTAATTGCTTTTAATTTTTAATATAATTCAGTATATTGTTAAATCTAGATTTATTGTTCCAAACTGAATAGGTAATCAGTAGGGATGTAATCTTGTATTAGGTAAAATTGAATCAAATTACTTCAAAGAGTAACCTAATTTGCTAAGACTAATTAACTACATATTTAGTTTATTTATCTGCTAGTCAAGAGTTATCGAAAAAAATTATTACTTTACCATAATGTATGCCAATGTAAGATTGCTTAAAAGAGCAATGTTGCCCTTTTCATATTTTTTCTATAAAAAAAATATAAAGCATTTAAATTCAACAATGATGCTAGCTATTTATAACTAAATAATTCGCCTTAACTATTTAGTTCAATTTCTACCTCAATGCCGCATTACATCATCCATAATTTAATAAAGGTTAGTGCTCTAATCGGCCATTTCCAGTGTCATTTTATTCAATGCTCTCCTTTGTGATCCTATAATAGCACCGTTGCCGTTTGCAATTAATTTTTTTTTTTTAAATTGCAGGTATCGAGTCTATGGGTTATGCCAAAGGCGAAAAGATCCTCCGATGCAAATTGGCAGCTGTTTTTAGACTAATCGATTTATACGGCTGGACTCAAAGTCCTAGCGCTTTAATCACAGCCAGATTGAATCAGGAAGACGAACAGTTCCTGGTCAATCCGTACGGAATGCTTTTCCATGAAGTAACAGCGTCCAGCTTGATTAAAGTTGACATGCAAGGCGCAGTTCTGGAACAAGGCACCACCAATTTTTCCGTTAACGTGACAGCTTTTTCGTTGCACGCAGCCGTACACGCAGCGCGGCCGGACTTGCGCTGTATCATTCATGTACGTACACCCTCTGTAGTAGCTGTTTCAGCATTGAAGCACGGGCTATTGCCTCTGAGTCAAGAAAGTGTTGTGGTGGGGGAAGCCAGTATTCATGTTTATTTGGCTGGTTTGTTGGATGCCGACGAAAAGGACAAATTGGCTAGGAACTTGGGGCCTGTCAATAAAGTGCTGTTGTTGACCAATCAAGGTAAGAATTTTTATGAGATAATTGGAATAACTAAGAACAACTTCACATATTCACTTGCAAATATCTTAAGTTTTTCCTAACACACTACCTCTCCTCCGTACTTCTCTCTTGTATTTTCCAAGCCAGATATAAGGGAGCAGTAATTTTTCTGCCCTCATCAACCACAAATGTTAATTTTGTTAGAAATATTATGAAGATAAATTGCATTTTTATTGAAAAAGGTGGAGTATAGAGACCACCAGCAAAATATAAAGGTAATCATTCAAGTAAAAAATTTCTAAAATCTGTTTTTGATAATTCCCCAAGTCAAAAATTTAGTAACTATGTTGGCAGCACTAACCTTTTCTACATAAAAAATTTGAAAGCATTGACAATTTTACATTGTATTACCAACATAATGTCATTTTGACTTTTATCTTTAAAAAAAACACACTTTATTATTTCTTCAAAATGGGATATTCCGAAGCTGGACTATGAGGAATAAACCTAAAAAACCTAGTATATTTGGAATCAGAATTGAAAGGCTAATCCAATAGGTCAATGATATATGGGGTGTTCCATTTAAAAAAGTTTAATTTTGCTTCGCCATACTTTTGGGACACACCCTGTTTACTTATAACTAACTTCATTGCAAAGTTTCTGATAATTGACCTTTTGTTTGGACGCCATATTGCGGTGCGCGAACATAGTTGCCAAAAGTGAAAAAAAAAAATTACTAGGGTACTGTCAACATTAAAAACAAAAGTTACTGAATAAATTACCTTTAAAATTTAAATTTGCCGCCTATTAAGAATGTTTTTGAAAAGAAAGGCCATCAATTTTAGCTTGTATTGGGCAGAATAGAAATAATAAAATATCTACCTATTCACTTTCATCAATCAGAGAGAGAAAGTAAACAAACAAAAAGGCTAGCGAGGATCAATCATTTAGTTACTTTTGTTTTTAATGTTGACAGCCCGCTAGTAATTTTTGTTTTCTTCTTTTGGCAACTATGTTCGCGTACCGCAATATGGCGTCCAAACAAAAGGTCAATTACCTACAACTTTCAAATTTGACATTTCTGGGTATCTCGTCAAACAGGTGAGATAGGTGTGGGTGCAAAATATAGACAATCACTCGGTACCTTGTTACTAAAATGATGAAATTTCAATTTTTTTATGTTAAGATTTTGTGTTTAACACATTGCATGCCAGGGTGACAATTTGAAAAGTAGCAATCGGGAATATCTCTTAGACAAAAAATACTATCAAGAAGATCTCATATACGTATTGGGAGATTGGAGGGGGAACCAAAGTGAAACACTTTTTGAGTCACCCCACCTCCCCCCTTAGGGGGTAGCTACCCTAACGTATTTTTTTTTTAAAATAAGAACCTACCTTGTGTTGTCCAACCTTAGATACCTCGTTGCTTTCCCTTTAGTCTCATAACAAAATCTTAAATTGTACGATTAGTTTTCGAGATATCGGTGTTTAAAAGTAAGCACATTTTGAAAATTTGTAATTTTGACTATCTTTAAGTAGTAGTAGTAGAAGTCGTAGTAGTAGTAGTAGTAGTAGTAGAAGTACTCTAATAAACTCTCTATTGTTTAGGATTTTCGAGAAAATCGAGTTTGAAGTTTTGAACAAAATGTCGACCAAATTTCAACTTTGAAGTAATATCCTGGAAATTTCACAAGTTACAAAAACCAATTTTGCAGGGCTTATAGATAATTAAATAGTCTTTTTAATGATGCATCATTGTAGGCAGTTTTCTCAAATATCATGAAAGATATGAGCAATTATTCATGAGCATGTCAAGATTCCAAAAAATGTCAAGCCAGAGCCAAAAATTAGATTTCCTTTTTGAATTTTTTTTCTCATCAAAATTTTTAAATGTAACTGATGTTAGAGATGTTTCTGACTAATTTGGACTAATTAAGACGTCGAAAAAACCAACTTATGACGGCAAAAAGGCCAACTTAAAAAGTCGAAAAGACTTCTAAGATTGGAGAATAATTCAGGGTTTATACTTTAAATGAAATTACCAAAATATGTTGATATTAGGTACAGTTGCGATCAAAAAAAAGTAGTACAAGAAAAATCTCCAAAATCTCCTAGTCTATTATACATTAATTTAATTCATAACTAAAAAGACATATTTTTGGCACTTTTCGACAAGTTTTTAACCTAGAAAACTTCAGATGACATTATTTTGACATTTTTCCACACGTTTTTTACCTAGAATATGTCTTGCCTGTCAAAATTTTGTATGTTACACCGGGAGCTCAAATTGGGTTAATAATTTTTGCACTACTTTTTTTTGATCGCAACTGTACCTACCGATAACAGATAACAACACTAAATTGTCAATATTTGAAACACAACAACTATCAACAAACTATTGAGAAACTGATGCGACATAATAAGTTAGTAAGACGTGTCTAAAACTGTCGTCGGCTGGAAGTCCAAAACATGTCTTCAGTACGACGTTCAATTTTGGACAAAAGTCGTATGAGACCAAAGTGGTCCAAAATTGGACGTCCTTTCGACGACACAGTGGTCATTGTGGTAAGCTGGGGTATCTCCAAACAGTGAAAATTCAAAAGATACTTAAGTCTACGTATCTACTCAATTTTTCCTAAATTTCTGCTTTCCAATTCTCAAATTTTTCTGTCTAAATCTTTGTCTATTCCCGGCTCTTGAATTGTTTTTTTCGAAATACCTCCAAACAGAGAAAATTCAAAAGCCTGAAATAGGATATAATAGCATACGCATTATGTCTACTCTATTAGAAGTGTTCCAGTCCCAGAAGGGAAAAGGTCATGATAGTTAGGGTCATTACAGCCTTTCTAGGTTTTTCCTCATTCACCTGCCTCGCGGCCTGGTGCATTCCTGGCTTTCAGGCCTCTGTATTACCTAGGGATTGAACTTATCCCTGATTCACGCAGTTTCTCGACGGATTGATCAATCTTATCCTTATCTGGAAGTTCATTTAGGCAATCTTTCCGCTCTAAACTATCTGCAAAAGCTTAAGCTTTTACTTAATAGAAGAGAATACCTAGGCAAACCCATTTAATATGTGAAATAGTCGAATGATGGTTTTCTTCTCACAGATACTTCTGCTTTCTAGAAATTTTCCATAAATTTCTTCTCTAAATTTCTGAATTTCTCATCTCAATTTTTGTCTATTTCCGGCTCTTGAATTGTTCCTTCTAATTATCTCTACATAAAGAAAATTCAAGAGCCTTCCCATCATCGTCTAATCAAATGGTAGAAAATAGGAGAAAATTTTGGTGCAGTTTCGAAATTCGGTATGTATTTGTTTTTGGGTTGCTTTACACGAATATCAAGTTTGCCAACAAGAAATTTGACCGGAAATGAGTTTGTGAAGAAAATTCCTCTAAAAAAGTGCCTTTTTACGGTTTTTGTCAAATAGCTGGAAACCTATTTAGTTTGGTATATATTGATCTTATAAAAAATGAAAGTATAAAATTTCCTACATTTTATTTTCTCTGAGTTTTTTTCTAGGATCAACGGTTCAGCCGTGATGAAGGAGCAAAGTTAGGTGTATCTTCACCAACGTGTCCTTTTCCTTGAAGGCCCTGGTTCTTCATCGGCATCTACAATATAAAAAGGGGCAAATTAAATAATTACCGTCTTCAGTGACTAAGAAATCCAACTCCAATTTATTTCTCATTGAGGGGGCCGGCAATATTTTCCTTGAGCTGGAAAGCAGATTTCATGTACCAAACATATCTCAAGTGATTGAGCTAAGGCACAGTTTTACCACTGTATCCATAGTGAAACCAGAAAACGTTCACCAGCATCAGCAACCATACCCTGAGTAGCATTGGAGTCTTCAAATACTTTGATACTGTCAGCAAGATAAGGGTTTTTTCTCGGGGTATGAAGGAACTTTAGTTTTCCTTGATTGTACAATGCCGATGTTGTATCACATCCACCCAGTGCGTGTAAGAACAATATTATCTGCGATTAATGTGTCACTTATAGCATCAGTAGGAGAGAATGTAACTGTAGAGACTTTGTTCTTCCCAGGTTTCAAAAGGAAAGCTTTTGCTATCAAAAGTACCAAGAGGTCTATATCCTCACCAACTATAATCACCGTCTCATTGGTTGGAGCCAGTTCCAGAGCTGTGTTCACTATCAGGGTATAAGCATCTTCTTTCGCCTGCTTGCAGAAATTCCTGCTGAAGTAAACCTCGCGATGAAAATTGATATGAACCGACTTCTGTTTCCCATGTTAGCAAAGAATTTCTCTTTTAACGTAATTGGCATCATTGTATGATCAAACAGCATGTCAGCTGAAGCCAGTCTCCTTGATCTGTTAATACGCTCTGAACTTTTTGTACCATCGTTTAGGCCTTCAGGGTACCCATCAAAACAATCACTGCGTTTGATTGATATTTTGATACGACGTATTGTACGTAATTGTCACAAATCGAAGAAAATGTTTGATTCATGATACCTTATGCAAGAGACGCCCGCCATCTATGAACTTGGTCACTAAACGCTTGTTTGTTAGGGATTTGAATGCTTTATACAGAGTAGACTTGGTTCCTTTTCATGAACCATTGTCAAACAATGTCGAGAAAAAAGGGCCTAGATCGTAGCACAAAAATTCCTCGAGCTGCTCCTCTGAATGTTTGGCAATGGTCATTCTTTGGAACAGATTTGTTGGATTGATAGGTATTTAGTTCGTTTTGTATCCGTATCGCACTAGTCATTACTGCCAGAGGTTGCACTAGGTCGTTTCTTTTAAATTTGACAGTTCCGAAGTCACCACCGACAATTTTATTAATTAATACCTTTTCTGCCCAAATCCCAAGCTTTATAGCAATTAATTCGATCGTCAGCCAAAACACCAGTGCTGATTTAATATAAATCAGGGTTTTCAGGAAAAGGAAATTCCTGCAAGAGCCATTCATACATCTTGGCCTCATCCTTGTTGTCCCGTTTAACTCTCGAGCCTTTCAATGCTACGTGCTTTTCTGATGACTGAAATGTAACCCGACAGTAATTTTCAATCTGTTCACAAACATGTTGCACATAGGTCAACCCCAATGTCCACCTTGACAATACACCTTCTCCTACACCACGACCGTATGTGAGACCTCCATGAAGTTTCATATTTTTTATGAGAAACTTCTCGATGGTCATGTCAGTCCAGGTTCCACACCAAAATTGGTCAGATCGTCGAACTGTGAAAAAACCATAGATATTAAATTTTTGCAAATTCTTCGACAGACACTGTTTGCTTCAAATTCAGCATAGCTTATAGAAACACATGCATGCGCAAAGTGCCCTGACGCATGAAAATGTAGTAACATCTTCAAAACAGTTTCAAGGTTTTGATCTCAGTTGCCCATTCTTTCAGACGAGATGAATAATTTCACAAGAATAACTAGCTGCATATACTGTACAGAGCTGAACAGAGGAGCCACGTTGTTTCAATTGCTGCAGTTGATGATTTACCTTTTCCTTGAATTCGCGACATTCATCAGGGTCAGATGCAAGAATTACTGATTTGTCAAAGTTTTGTAAAATATCGTTTAGCTTTATTTCAATTTCTTCATTTCCCTTTTAGGTGCCCTATGTTGTGGTGAAACAATGGAAGAAGCCTTCTTCAATGCCCGCAACACGATTTTGGCGTCCGAAACTCAACTCAAACTTCTACCTGTCGGCATTGACAATCTTATTTTGCTCAACGACGAGGCGAGGAAGAAAATCTACGATACCGCCCATAGGGCTCCCGAAAGTACTCCCAGACCCGATCAACCTTCAGTGTTAGAGGGCAAAGTGGAAAGAAAGTGGCGCGTCGGCGGAGTGGAGTTTGAGGCTCTAATGCGTATGATGGACAATGCTGGATTCCGTACTGGTTATATTTATAGACATCCGCTGGTCAAAGGGGAACCGCCAAAACCTAGGAACGATGTTGAAGTGCCTCCGGCTGTTTCTTCTCTCGGATATCTGTTGGAGGAAGAGGAGTTGTATAGACAAGGGTAAGTTTTAGGGATTTTGTTTTAATAATTTTTGAGTGCTGTTTAAAATTTGCAGCCTGTGGAGAAAACTGGAAGGCGGCAGAAAAGGAAACGACCGTAGCCGTTGGTTGAATTCACCCAATGTCTATCAAAAAGTAGAAGTTTTGGAAACGGGCACTCCGGATCCCAAAAAAATCACTAAGGTAGAGATAATTAAGTTTGAGAATAAATAATTTTAAAAATCATGCTTAAATGTTTAGCTTAAATAATGTAGGTTAGACAATTTGGTGTTCTAGTAAGTGAAACTTTTGAAGCAAACAAAGCCTACTGACGCTACTTTTGCGTGAGGATCATTTCTAGATAAAATAATGTCTGTAACTAATCAGCCTAATCAGATGAAAACACATGTCAAAATAAAATAAAGGGGCCCTACAAAAATCAATATTGTGAAATAAAACCAGTCATGATATTCTTTCAATATTATGTAATTGGCCTAATGAGATGAAAGATTTGATTTAGAAGTCAAACTCTTAATACCTAAAGTTATATGAGAGTGGTTGGGAAAAAGTAAAATTAGTTTCCACTATATTTTCATTAAATTTCATGTTGAATAAAAATTAGTGAAGATATAGTTGAAATAAGTTTTTCTCAACCATGGATTTGCCATTTGCCAAGTATCAGTTCAAATATATGAGATTTCTTTAACTTCGATAGGCATTGGTTGGCTTTGTGTGTTTCAACAGTGACATTCTAAGTGTTTTACATTTTAAAGTTTTCTATCTCTGTCATCTTAGATTGACACTGCCCCTGTTTTGGGAGCAATAAACTCATACAGTTATTATTTAATGAAAAACCAAATATATTCACATGACTATTACACTCTCTTTGTGTAAGTTGAATGAACTTGAGTCATTATGATAAAAATGCCAGTAAATTAGTTTTTAATAATTCCATGTAAAAGTTGATCATTCCAATATAAAAATTACGTGCCATTTTTTGTGTAGATTAGATTATTATTGATGTTTTATAATTTATTTACTCTTTTTTACTTTATTCTCTTTAGAATAAGTTAACATTATTATACTCAGTGGCTGCATCGCAATATTATATCTAGTCGCCTCAACTATTTTTAATCTATATTTTCATTCAAGTCCAAGACTCGACTCTGGATTTGATTTATATATAATTATATTAAACATTTTTTGCCGTAGCTTGTGCTGAATAAATAAAGATATTTAGAATCGATGAAAAACTGTTTTCCTAACTAAATAAAAGTGAAAATAAAAAAAAGTGTGCCTGTAAGGCGTGCCCCCGAATTGCCTTAAAACTGTTCAAACAGCAAAACCAGTAGGTACACTTCAGTCACTCAATACAGGCACACCTTTTTCTTTTTCTGATTGCATTTTCACAAATTTTTGTTAAACCAAAACCTCATTAACTGGTTTTGCTGTTTTTGCAGTGGGTCGCTGAAGCTTCTCCCAGTCATTCCAGTACACCGATGAAAATCGATGCCGCTTTGCAATTCGTACCTCAGGGGACCAATCCAAAGGAATTCAAACAAAGACAGCAACAGGTAAGTACTGATATAATTTATATCAAACATGACAATAATAATTTCTTTATTAATGTTTTATTATAAATTACATAGATTAAAGACTATAGAAGAGCTGACAAAATATCTGCCGGCCCTCAGTCGCACATCTTGGAAGGCGTTACATGGGAAGAAGCCCGTAAAATGCAAGATGCTGTTGTTACACAAACAGGTTAGATAATTATTTGGACTTTATTAATTTAAGAATACAATGACATGTGACATGTCTAGATCTTACTGATTCTTCTAAGGCCACTTTAAGTAAAACCTAAACACACACACAAATTCCTTCATAAACATTTGTTCTTTAGGTGACCAGGTAGTTTTAATGGGCGCAGCTTCCAAAGGTATCATTCAGAGAGGCCATCAGCACAACGCTACGGTGTACAAGAGCCCTTACGCCAAAAACCCATTCGATTGCGTTACAGATGAAGAACTGGAGGATTATAAAAAAGTTGTAGAAAAGAAAACGAAAGGAGAATGTGAGTTAATTTATCTTCAAGCTTTTGGTTATGACTTTTTTACATAACTATTTTTTTAGTATCTGAGTTATGTCATGAGACTCATAAGACAACTAGTGGTGTTATAGACTAGGTTATGAATCCATAACACAACTAGTGGTGTTATGGACTAGGTTATGAATCTATAACACAACTAGTTTTTGTGACTTGTCAAATGTGATAGTTTAATCTGTAAAGGTAAAATGAAGGTAGACAACTACCAATAAACAAAAATTGAAAACAACATTTTCTTATTATAGTCCTGTCCCCAACGCATAACCCCGTAAAAAAAATGTTGTCCAGAGAAACGAATTTTAAATTTGTATTTTAGGTGTATTGGAGAAGTGATTTAACTTGAGTAGACATCACGAATTTGGCGCGACTGTTTTTTGTGCGTTATTTTTAAAAATGGCTGAAGGTTTCAGTCTTTAAGTTATCAGTTATCGAGAGCGGCTTGAAGTTATCGAGCGAGTTTGAAAGAAAGGTTTAAGTAATTACATCAACGAAGAAACCTGGAACAAACACAAAATCTATAAATGTTGTTGAGGGTTACATAGAAATGTAAGGCCATCAGTGTAAGGGTTAATCTGAAGGGTTGAATTTTACCAGTATTATATTTTTTGACTCCTAATCCCTGAAATACAAAATAATACTGAAATCCTCCGCCATTTTTGAAAATAGCGCACAAAAACCAGTCACGCCTAATTCATGATGTCACCCCAAGTTAAATCACTTTCCTAATATAGGTACCTAAGATACAAATTTAAAATTCGTTTCTATGAACAACATTTTTTCCACGGTATTAGCCTGTGGGGTCTGGATCATTATTCGCTTTGTAGATAAAACGTTGTATATCAAACATGACTACAAAACTCGTGAGATTAGAACGACTCGGTTTACGACACTCGTTATTGTAATCATGTTCATAAACGCACTTGCAATGTATCAGCAATCTATTGATTCTACTATTGATATCTTATTGTAGACGATACGGACTATAGCGAATCAGAAGGTTTGTCTTCTGCTCAAATTAACAAACAATTAGATAATCTTCATCTCAGATCCCCTACTTCAATGACTAGTGAAACAGAAGAGGAAAGTAGAGATGGTAAGCCTCTTATTGGATTTTAATTTTTTTTAAGTTGAATTTTGTGTATTTTCTTTTTCAGAGCCTCGAATTTTGAGGATAGAAACAACAACCGCTCCAAAACCGAGTCAACCAGAGGTTGTTTTGAGTGATGGTAAGCAGCACAATCGTGATTTTAGTAGTTTTGTTTATATTACTTTTGCATGAAATTATTTTTATTTTTGCATGTATAGCTGAGCATCCAGTAGAACAGTTCCTAAGGACTGAAAGGAGGCCAGTCAACAATTACAGGAGTAAGTAGAATAGATTCTATCCATATTAACATCTAACTTTGTACATAATATTAACATTAGCATGTAAATGACAACAATATTAGGACCAAATTTTAGTCATTGAGAAATCTGGCTTTAATGAGAATAATTTATGTCTCAAAAACTATGAAAATACTGAAGTCAAAACCATGTGTATGTGGTTTTTCCGTATCACGACATCATTTCATTAAAACCATAATTTTGACATGATGATGAGATTGTGTGAGTAAATTATTGATCCAATTCTCTAGCTATTATTGTCATTTCCATTTAAAATTTAAGCATCAATTTACATAGAAAGGTGATGGGTATTACTTGTAATTTACCAGCAGGCAATTCTAACAATTTCCTTTTGCATATCAGCTTTTTGTTTTTTCTCACGCTTCAGCTTTTGCAGATTACTGACCGGGGTCAATTTTGATTTGAAAACTGTAAAACTAAAACTGTCTTTTCCACTTCTCTCTTCCAGGTTCAGAAACACTAACAAACAATTTCTATCGCACGAATAGTCACGCTGGCTTGCCAAAGGGTTCATACCTTTCACCTAATCCTCTGCATTTTCATATAAGTCGCTTGACAACGACAGAAGAGGTTCAAATTAAACGTCCTCTTATAATAACGAATAAAGTATTCCGTGAACGTTTGGCTCATGCTAACAAAATAACTTCTCATATTCTTAAGGATAATGTTAACATTTTACTGAGATTTAATAACTCTCATTCAGCTGCTATGGATATGCCTCTAAGCACTTTAAGAGGATTTATTTTACCATTTGCTAAAGCTCTAAATGAAATGCCCGTTGTTCATAATATTTCTAGTCAAACTTCTTATAATATAAATGAAAATGTCAATTACTCGCCATTATATCGCAATGCCCATTCAAATACGCTTCATGTTGACAGTAGTGACAAAATTGAACAAAATGTTTTGAAAAATTTACATGACAGCATAATGGCTGAAACATTATGCAGTGAGGAAGACGTGAATGAAATGTACGAGTTTGATGATAATGATCGAGCTGATATTTGTGAAGGTTTAGCAGAAATTCCAATCGATATAGCTGAGAACTTTAATTTTAATGATGCTGCTAATGGAAAAACTCTCGATTTATGTGTTGAAAATTTTTTGAAAATAATCAATGAGTTTTGCATCAGCTTAGATTCTAGTAGCTCGAGTGAAAGTGTAACAGAAGATTTGAAAGACAATGATGAGATATATGATGAAATTCCAGCTGTTGAAGATGGTTCTAGTGACAATGTCATTGGCAAATTAGATGAAAATGCTGATAATATGCAAGGAAAATCAAATGTTATGCATCCAGAAGAAAATCCTTATTTCGAAATATCAAATAATCAAGAAATTATTCTAGCAGGAGGCACATCTGCTGAAGTTTCTTCCAGTATTCTTCATCATTATGGGGCTAGTTCAAATAAACATTTGACTAATGAAGAAAATGAGGGACTTGGTGGAGAAGACAAGGGAAATAATCCACCAAAGGAAAAAGCCAATACCTTTGAGCAAAATAAAGAATTGCCTTTAAAAGGCGTCCCAAACAAAATCTTTGAATCATCTGCAGAAATCTACCAAGAAGATTTACTGGATGAGGAAAATAATCCACCAAAGGAAATAACCAATACCTTTGAACAAAATAAAGTATTGCTTCTAGAGGTCGTGCCAAACAACATTTTTGAATCATCTGCAGAAATCTACAAAGAAGATTTACTGGATGAAGAAAATAATTCACCAAAGGAAAAAGCTGATACCTTCGAACAAAATAAAGTATTGCCTTTAGAGGTCGTTCCAGACAAAATTTATGAATCATCTGCAGAATTCCACCAAGAAGATTTACTGGATGAGGAAAATAATCCACCCAAAAAAAAAGTCGATGCCTTTGAACAAAATAAAGAATTTCCTTTAAGAGGCATCCCAGACAAAATCTATGAATCATCTGCAGAAATGTGCCTAGAAGCTTTACCGGATGCTGAAGTTAGTGAATTAGCTGATTGGTTCAAAAATAATTCACACCTGACAATGCTTACACATGAAGGGGAAGAAAGATGCCATGAATATGATTATTTGCAAAGTGAAATTGTTCTAAATATTAATTTATCGTCAATACCTGAAGAAGTGGAAGAACTTGATGTAACAGAGAAACAACTGGTTGCAGAAGTGGATTTTAATGATAACAAAAGTAATGAAAAGTCTGTACAAATTGGGATTAAAAAAGATGATTTTAGTAAGAAAACTTCAGAAGAATTAGCTGCTGGTTTGGATTCTGAAAATGATTCCGATGACTCTATCAGTTCTGTAAGAACGTACACTATAGCAGAAGCTCAAGAAGCTGAGGTAAAACATTCAGACTCGAGTCCGGAGCTAAAACCCATAGTAATGTCTTCAACTGAACTTGACTCTAATGTGCCTCATCCAAAAATTTCGGAAAATTTACCTTTTTTCAAAGAAAATAAAGAACTTGGTAGAAATTATGAGCCAGATGATTCACCCCCAAAACCAAATCATGCTTTATCCAAAGCCGAGGAAAATAAGGAATTTTCAACTGAATTAGTTACTGGGTTAAATACTAATGAGCCAGATCATTCACCACCAAAACCAGATCATGCTTTATCCAAAGATGATTTAAGTACGGAAATTCCAGATGAATTAGCTGCTGGTTTAGATATTGGAAATGTTTCCGATGACACTATTAGTTCTGCAAGAACGTACACTATAGCAGGAGTTCAACAGGCTGAGGAAAAACATTTAAAATCGAGTTCAGAGCTAAAACCCTTAGGAATATCTTCAACTGCACTTGACCCTAATGTGCCTCATCCAAATATTTCTGAAAATTTACCTTTTATGAAAGAAAATAAAGAACTTGGTAGAAATTATAAGCCAGATGATTCACCACCAAAACCAGATCGTGCTTTATACAAAGCCAATGATAATAACGAATTTTCAACTCAATTAGTTACTGATTTAAATGCTAATGAGCCAGATCATTCACCACCAAAACCAGACCATGTTTTATGCAAAGATGATTTCAGTAAGGAAATTCCAGATGAATTAGCTGCTGGTTTAGATTTTAGAAATGTTTCCGATGACTCTATCAGTTCCGCAAGAACGTACACTATAGCAGCAGCTCAACAAACTGAGGAAAAACATTTAAAATCGAGTCCAGAGCTAAAACCCTTAGGAATGTCTTCAACTGAACTTGACCCTAATGTGCCTTATGCAAAATTTTCTGAAAATTTACCTTTTATCAAACTTGGTAGACATTATCAGCCAGATGATTCACCACCAAAACCAGATCATGCTTTATCCAAAGACAATGGGAACAAGGAATTTCCAACTAAATTAGCTGCTGATTTAAATGCTAATGAGCTAGATCATTCATCACCAAAATCAGATCATGCTTCATCCAAAGACAATGAGAATAAGGAATATTTAACTGAATTAGCTACTGATTTAAATACAAAAGTCTTGTTTAACGAGACTAGTACGACATCTAAAAACAAAAAATCAGATGAAAACGAAAAAGAAACTTCACCAGCAAAAAGTCCACCTAATCAAAAACAAATTTCCTCAACCATATTTGTTGAGCATTTGATGACTGAAGAACTTGGTGAAGAAAATCTTGATAATAATTCACCAAATGAAATGGTGATGCAACATAAAGAACACGATTCATTAATAATTCCTGGGAAAGACAAAGAAAATGATTTACAATCTCATCTAGTAATTGACAACTATAAAGAAGACATTATAATGCCTGAAGAAACAAAACACTCTACAACCCCTACTACTTGCAAAAATATTGATAATCGAGCTGCACATACTATAAAAGAAGTCCGACGTGTTTTGACGTATCTTTCAGAAAGTGTCGATAAAGGAATTGCAGATGCATCTATTAGCAGTGCAGCACCTCAGATTGATGATCGTGTTAAGCAATTAGGCACAATTATAAGAGATTATGTCGTTGAAGAGGGTTTTGAAATAGAAGAAATGGTCGTGTTTCCTGAATTACCCGACGACAGTCATTTATCAAAATTGATCTTGCAACTCTTGAAAACTTTTACTGCGTCATTCCCCGATTGGCTGTCTCCGGACCAGAGGAGCGATTTGAGACTTGCAATAAGCAATTACGTAATAGATTTGCTTAATGTTGATCCGAGATTTGACGATAGCGGTTCCAGTGACAACACTTTAAATATTTCTGATAAGGTGTTCACAATTTCCGAATACGTTTCTGAGATTTTAAATGTATTTTTTGGAGAGATTTATTCTGATCATGGCTTTTTTATGTTTTCGAAACAAGTTTCTGAGGACATGATTGCCCAATCTACCCCGAGTGCTAAAAGGTCAATTAACCAAGTTGAAAGTGATTATGTACATAATTGTATAACTACGTTTAAAAAAAAATCAACAAAGGCATCGGAATCTCTATGGATAAGTATAACTTCCGATAAACCGTCTCCCATTGCAAAACCACAAACAAAAACTATTGTTAATGTTGACGAAATTCCTTTACGCCCTCCACCAGATTTAGACCCTAATCCGTCTACATCAAATGTTCGTGTTAATCTTTTCAACAGTGATTTGTCTGAAAGTTTCACTATTGGCAATAACAGTGATGAAGATGGCAATACAATTGCAGGTTATGAGATTCTTAGTGTTATAAACCTTTCTGACTGTGACAGGAAAAAAAAAGATGACAAAAAAGAGCAATCGGAACCGCCTTCATCAACTACGAGAGATAATGTTCGTGTTAATCTGTTTAACAGTGATTTGTCTGGATGTTTGACTATTGGCAGTGAAACTGGCAATTCAATTGCAGATTATGAGATTCTTGGTGTTATAAGCATTAGTGATTCTGAGAGTGAAAAAGAGGATGAAAAAAAGGAGGAATTGGAACCGCCTTCATCAATCATGAAGGATGATGTTCGTGTTAATCTGTTCAACAGTAATTTGTCCAAAGAATGTTTCCCTATTGGCAGTAACAAGGATGAAACTGGCAATAAAATTGCAGATTATGAGATCCTTGGCAGTAGTGATTCTGAGAGTGAAAAAACGGAGGAATTGGAACAACCTTCATCAACCATGAAGGAGAATGTTTGTGTTAATCTGTTCAACAGTAATTTGCCCGAATGTTTCCCTATTGGCAGTAACAAGGTTGAAACTGGCAATACAATTGCAGATTATGAGATCCTTGGCAGTATTGACTTTGAAGATGACAAAAAGGAGCAATTGAAACCGTCTAACATTAATATTGTTGCTAGCACCGAGATACATTTTTGTCGTACCAAATCTTTCAACACTGAAAAAGTTGTTTTTGCTACTGATGTTGTTTTCACAAGGCAGGACAATAAGGAAAACCTTACACCTGAAGATGATGGAGGCGATTGGTTGTTAGAAGCCAAATTTTGACAATACATTCGTATTTGTTATTATATATTCTTATTTTATTGTTTCATTTATCCTATAACGCTATTAAAATAAATAATATTACACGCAACAAAGAAAAAACTAATTTTTAGTTTCGTTTATTAACCAGAGCAGTTGAATGAGTTTTGATTTTTCTTAGTTTTAAATATTTAATTATTTTGTGCTTGTGTGTTCTGTATTTAATAAAATTTATTATTGGTAATGATTGCCTTATGTTTTCGCTTGTTATTTTGTACGGATAAGAAAGGAGCGTAACAAAAAAGCCTGGTTGGTGCTGGACAACCGTAACAGGTAACCAAAACTAATGATTAAATAATTTTTTTGTTTGGGATACTAATCGATACATTTAAAACGTAAAATTTACTAAATTTTTTCTTTAGGTGAAAATACAGTCAACGGAGACCAATCGGATGCTCACATGAGTACTTTGTCACAGAGTAGTAAAGAGGTAGATAAATTGTGTTTTATAGATTGAGTAAAGATTTATTGAAAATTGTGTTTTTATAGGACCGCTCCATATCCGAAGGATCGCCCAAAAAAGACAAAAAAAAGAAGAAAGGTTTGAGAACTCCGTCATTCCTAAAGAAGAAGAAGGAAAAAAAATCACGCGAAGCATAATAAGGTGATTTATATGGTTTATAATATGACATTGAAATAAGTAAAATAAAATAAGATTTACTACATAGTTTTCTAGAAAACTGTACATATGTTTTATCCAAATTTTACAGCGAATTGACAAGTGTGTTGAAGTTGGCGGACATCCCTTTGAACAATTGTTATAGTTTTTGAGGTAGTTTTTCACTATGGTAACCTTTCTCTACTTTTAGATTTTGTGAGGAGGAAAGTAAAAAAAATTGATCTGTTCTTTTTTATCAGCTTAAATTAAAACTGGGTCGAAAAGTGCTTCAAGTAAAAGTTACTTGTTTTTTTCCGTAGAATAAGATTCTGTTATAAAAAAAATACGTTTCCATTGAAAAAAAAAAGAGTTAACCTTGAAAACGTTGTCAATGTCAAAAATCAGTGCCGCCATTTTGTTTCCCCCATAATACCATGTAATTTTTGTTTAAACGCAACGTTTTCGAGATATTAGACTGTCTCAAGTTAAATAGACCACCCTGTACATATCGTTGTTAAATATTCCACTCTTCTGGTACTTCATGTTTATCTATGCATGTTTGAAATAGTTTTGTTAAATGTTTATATAGTTTATTATTGGTCCCATACTTTATCAGTTCTCCATATGTTTTGGTTGATTACAAAACAAATCTAATACTTACATACCAACAGACAAGTCTTAAATCAAATTATCTATGACCACAATCAGGTTATTTCTAACATTATTGACGACAGTGGCGCCAATGTTCTGTTTTTGCCTCTGCTATTGGTCAATCTTGATGGGATTATAGACTATAGGGATAAAATTAACTTGGCTCAACACCTATGTATAACAAAAATTCGCCCATCCTTACACGTTCCTTCAAATCAAATCAAATAACGCTTTATTGTCTAAAGAAATACTCATTTGACAAAGCTTTAAAAAATATAAATTTAACCCTAAATTCTAAATCTTAGCAATACGCAATACAAAATAAATTATAGACACATAACTTAGGGATAGTCAATTATTCAAATATACCACAAATACTATTCCGATTAGATAAAATTAAGTTAAAATACAAAAATTTACACAAAAACAGGAATACTTTTTTAAAATCTCGATATAATAGTTAAACAAAAATCAAAGTAAAAATTAATATAAGATTAAACGACTAAAAAAACTTCCTTATAGAACTCTTCTAAACTATAGTATGCCTTCAATTTTAGAACGGACTTTACACATTTTACAAAACTCTTAAGATCATGGAGACCCTTCCACTCATTCGGCAAATGATTGTATATCTTTAAACTTTCATACATTAAAGAGTTTTTGGTAAAACCACTCCTGGGTATTGGTAATGGTATATTATGTCCATAACGTGTGTTGTGGATGTTGGGATTTATAAAATTTCTATATTTTTTGTGCACCAAGGAGACAGAATTAAAAAGTTGTTTGTTACAAAAACCCCAAAATGCAATCCCATATCTCAAATGAGACTCAACAATTGAATAATATACCGACTTAGCCATGAGTGACCCCAGCTGCCCCGTGACAATACGAACAGCAAAGCATCCAGATGCCAATTTCTTGTTCAGACACAATATATGCTCTTTAAATTTTAAATCCGAGTCTATGTGCAAGCCCAGAAACCTGCAGCTAGCCTTATTTGCCACGAAATAATTGTCCACATTCAGATCATCCAACACAAACCTAAAAGAAATAGCACTAGTTTTATTTAAATTGAAACAAAGTAAATTTGCGTCGCACCACTCCTTCACACGTCGTAGGTCTTCAATTATAATATCTTTCAATAAACTAGCATCTTCATCAAGCCACAAGATGGTCGTATCATCTGCAAAAATGGTAAAACGGCCTCGAATATCTAGTCTAGCCAAGTCATTCAAGTACAATAGAAAAAGAACTGGGCCAAGAACCGAACCCTGGGGAACACCGTGTCTCATTGACAGTTCATTTGAGCTACCATCCTCAGAACAAACCACCTGTTTTCTACCTGACAAATAAGACGAAAACCAGTCATACGCCACTCCCCTGAAACCATACTGATGCATTTTCTCCAGCAGTATTCTGTGATTTACGCAATCAAATGCTTTAGAAAAATCACAGAAAACCGCTGCAGCCATACTTCCTCCATTCAGACCGACGTACACACTCTCCAAAAGCCTGAACACCGCATCACTAGTACCCTTAGAGGCTTGAAATCCAAACTGACAACTAGTCAGGATATTGTGACTAGGCATGAAGGCTACCATTCTTTTCTTTATAAGCTTTTCAATGATTTTTGAAAGCGTAGGTAACATTGAGATTGGATGAAAATCAGCAGGGTTTTTCGGATCATCACCCTTAAACAGCGGAACAACAACAGCGGTCTTGAGACTAGAAGGAAAACAACCATCGTCAAAAGATTGATTTATTAACATTACCATAATCTCCAAAGCCTGTCTGGGCAAAGCCGCAAACACTCTGAGTGTAAGGTCATCTATGCCAGAGGAATTTTTACTTTTTATCTCTCCAAGGATACCACACATTTCATCAATATCAGTATGTATCAAATAAAAACTGTTCGGTACAGAAACCTCCTGCAGGTATAACATTGGATCAATTTGTGAATTTAAATTTGCTGTTAGTCCATCAGCAACGGAACAATAAAAATCGTTTAATGTGTTAGCGTCAACATCAACTTTAGTCTTTGCTGAGCTTGATTTTCCCCACAAACAGTTTACTATTTTCCAATTCTCTTTAGTTTTATTTTGCGCCCTATCAATCCTATCCCTGTAATACCACTTCTTAGCTGTCTTAATAGTACTCCTATAAATATTTTTGTACCTATTAAAATAGGCCAAGAAAGCTTGGTTTAAAGTGAATTTTCTTATCCTATGCAGACATCTTAAATTTACTGAGGAGTTTCTTATTCCCGAGGTAATCCAGGGCTTTTTGTTTTTCTGCTTTAATTTACGGACAGGAAAATTTGCATTAAAAATTTCAACAACTATACTATTAAATTTATCTAATGAGTTATCCAATCTCAATAATCCCTGCCAATTTATTTTCACAGCCTGTTCCCTAAAATGTCCAAAGTTTTCAGTACTGTAAATTCTCCCATATCTAAAGGTTTTTGATTTTTTTTCCTGGTGTACATAAATAGATGAAATTATAGCCTCATGGTCAGAGAGATCCGAGGAAATCACAATAGTTTCAGCCCCAAATATGTCCGAAAAATTTGAACAAAGATAATCAATAGTGGTACTGGAATATTTTGAGATACGGGTGGGCTGCTTAATGAGCATCTGCAAATTAAAAGAAATCAGCAAGTCCTTCAGATTCTGAGTGTACATTGACTCAGAATCCTCGTAATTAATATTCAAGTCACCGGCCACTAAGATTTTAGCATTTACTGGTAAGTCCGATAAAAGAATTTCCAGTCTGTCCATAAACTCTTTAATGGTTCCGCTTGGAGGTCTATATACACACAGAATATACAAATTTATCTTAGTAAAATGAACTATTGAAAACTCAAACACGCCTTCAACGAGTAAAAATTCGTATTTACTAATATTAACTACAGAATAAGACTCACACAACTCAGCAGTCAAAAGTATCATTGTTCCCCCATGTGCAGACTCTCCTCGACAAAAACTAGCGACTACCAAGTAATTGGGAATGTAGCATGGCTCGTCTGGTTTCAGCCAGTGCTCTGTCAATAATAAAATGCTCGGCATGTTATGCGTTTCCAAAAAAATATTTAACTCGTCCACCTTGTTTCTTACAGACTGAATATTCAATAATAACAGTGTTATATTTTTTTTGTGTTTTCTTTGAGAAAGTTGTCTAAAAAAGAGTGAGAGGTTGAAGTTTCTATAATCTCGATTTCTCTTGGCGCATCACTCGTCAGAGAGGCAGCTGAGACACCCGAAATCAACCTTCCCAAATCGCCTATTGATATTTTTGAAAAATGCAATTGCCTTAAATTGCTCATTGGAGCCTTTGAGAAATATGTGATGATTGAGTTTTTTAATAAAGTAGACAATTTGTACAGTCCCGCTACATTCAAGTAACAACTATTATTAACAAAATGTTTAAACAAAAATCTATTGTGCAAGTCAAGAAGATCGACATTCAAAGAAAAATGTTTTAAATTATTAATTACAGCATTAAACCTAGTGTTAACATCTTCAATATAATTTAATGATTTATTACATCTACTATTTACAGGCAGGGTACTTAAAATAAGATTTGTATAATAGTTATTTGTTTTACTAGGCAGAAAAATACAAGATTTAATGCCGAGGCTGGTGTTTCATAGCCGAGGCTAGGAAACCAGCCGAGGCATTAAATCTGCTTTTCTGCCATGTAAAACATATAATTTTTTCTCCGAATGTTCAAATTCACACATGGACATCTTTTTTATATTTATTTCATTCATTATTATTATCCAAATAATTAAATTATTTTGACAATTGTCATTGTCACCATCAATTTCAAATACCAAATTGAGTGAAATTATTACCTGGAACGTTGTGACACTGTCACTTTTAATGCCTAGGCAGTAAAAGTCCACTTTTACTGCCTAGGCAGTAAAAATACAACTTTTGATCTTGTCAAGTGTCATTAAAAGGCCGCTTTTACTGTCATTCGGAGAAAAAAGCATTTGTTTGTCAGGGAGGTAATATCATGTATGCTGATATTTTTATCATTCAAACCTGCCAAAACAATAACATAGTCCTCGTTTGTATAGTCCCTGATGTAACAATCCATGCTGGAAACAACTTCCTTAAATCTTGCATATGGATGGCTAACAATTTGGACAATGAAATTACAACCAAGAGTATTCTGTAGAGGCTCCAAAAGTCTTCTCCCACAGTCATCAGTCAGAACCAGAATTTTGATGAGTTTTTCAAGTTTTTCAGATTTTTTTGGTAGCCTTCCACTATTTTCCATCTTTCCACTTCCTTCTGTACTCAAATCCTTATTATTTTCTACCTGCTTCTGTTTCTCCATTTTCTTATTTTTGCTGTCCTTGCGTAGATCTTCTTTCTTCTTTTCCAATTCATTCTTTAATTTTCTTTCATTTTCTGCATAAATTTTATTATCTGCCTGAAGTATTACTAGTGCGTCCTTCATCTGATTTTTTGACCATTACAAGATCTGAGAAGTCTTCTTTTAGTTTTATTTCTAATTCCAAAAACGACACAAGCAATGCCTCAAATTTAAACGGATTTTGTAAGCCCATCGAAAATCGTAACCTCGTAACCATTTTTTCCATTCCCCGCACTTTCTCCTGTATGCTGATGACCTGAAATTTTATAATGTTTGGAATGGAGTTTCCAACCCACTGCAACCAGATTTCGACAGATTTGCTTCTTGGTATTCTTCAAACCTACTGAAAATCAACATATCCAAATGTGGCAATAACATTTCACAAAAGTACATCTCCTCACATGTCAACATATAAGATTGGTGGTCAACAAATTGATAATGTGAAATCCATCAACGACCTTGGCGTAACATTCGTACAAAAACTGATATTCAAAATGCACATCGATAATATTGTCAAAAGCTGCAGATTCCTCAGCTTCATTAAGCGAAATACCAAACACATCAACTACACAAAGGCACTTACATGTCTTTACAACGCTCTTGTACGCAGCACTCTTGAATACTGCTCCGTCATCTGGTCCCCACATTATACCATCCATATTAATAGACTAGAGAACGTCCAAAACAGGTTTCTAAAATACCTACTATATAAACACCGCTTTCCTTCATCTGGAATACCTTATGAAACCAGACTGTTGCTGTGTGGGATGATGAGCCTTGAGCAGAGACGGAAACACGTCCTACTCATTATTCTTTACGAAAGCCTGAATAATTGGATAGATTGCAGCACATTTTTGGAATCAATATTATTTTTGGTCTCCATTAGACGAACCAGACAACATCAACTTTTTTATGAGCACCCGCACAGAACGAATTATGGATTCACAGCTTTTGTGGACAGAACGATTTGCAATAACAATAGAAATTATAGGGATTAAACGTTGTGTCTAAACTTTAGATTTTAATTTATATTTGCTTATGTGTACTACTAGTCAAAACTGTTGTTCACTGTGATTTTGTCCTATATCTTATTTTTTTTAACCATATTTTCATGTATGTACCATTTAGAAAACTTATTATTATTCTGTAGTGTACTGATTGAGTTTATAAATAAATAAATATTTATTATGGCCTCTAACTTCTAAACTAAAGTTTTTTTTTTTTCAGGCACTGCCGAAGACATAATAAATAAATAATTAACCGCCTCCTCCATCGAGACTGCCAGCGACATATTTTGTTTCTTTTTATTATTATTAATTAATGTACTAGGTAGCGCAGCAGCTAGAATCTATGGCGTGTCACAACGGTCTACTAATAAAAAAATTGATAAATATTTAATAAAAAACATAATTATATTATATTGATTATTATATTTTTAGCTTTAAATTATAATATTATGTACAGGAAACAAGATTTTTTTTAAAAGCAGGAAAACAAGATAATGTATTAAAGTGATGTTATATTAATTAATTATGAGACTTAGTCTTGAAAAACATAATAAACAATTTGAAGCATATTAGGGAGGGTGCTGGAACTAGAACTTTTAATGAGAAGAAATTCAATTCTTCAATTTAACATTCCCTTACTTTTATTATTAACAACGCAGCTAAGCAATCCTGACATTTTCTTAATAGTTCTAGTTCCAAAAGGCAAAAGCTTGCTAAACTGCGTTGATTATGACATTTTTAGGATTAATTTTATAAGGGCTGCTGCGAAAATTATTGCTATAATAATGGATACATAATAATATTTTAACGTTATTTAGGATATTTTCTATTTTTCTATTAGATTTTAGTTGTTAAACGCAGTACTAATTAGGGCTTAGCTTCAAGTTCAAAGGCAGTTTAGGAGAACAAAGTAGAGGGCATCACCCCTTGTTTAAGTAATTTAAGTTGTTTATTTTGTGCAATATTTATTTTGATTTTTTTTTAATGATTGTGCGTTTCTATTTTTGATAATGTTTAATATTGAGTGAAGACCAAACTGACAAATTTATTATTATCGAGAGTTTATTTTCTATAATAGTGTTTTTATTATTTATGTAAAAAAATATAGCTTACAACTGTCTTATTTTGCTGTTATGTCTTTATTAAAACGAAAGGAGTGTATGAGAAAAAAAAAACCAGACACCACGATTTTGCCATAGTAACTATTGATTATTGTCATACACACTTTTTTCTTACAAAATGCATCAGGTGAGGGATCTAACACTAAAACTTTATATTATTTTTGTTTTTTATTTTAGGTTTTTTTGACTATAGTTAATGTTTTGCACAAAAAAAAAAAGATACTCCTGTTATATTATACATATTTTTGTTTTCTTAATATTTAAGAAATAAACAGCTTTTTCTTGGTATTCCTGGAGTTTCAATTGATTTTAACTTATTTGGTTTGTTACAGCAACAAAAAGATGCTTTCTTGCTATCATAATATGTGTAAAGCGCTGAGGAATTTTTCATAAAACGGTTGTAAGATTAAGTATGCAAAAATAGCGCATGCCCTCTTCTTTTCCGTCGAAGTTGTTGCGGTGTGTTTCTGTATCTCTGTGGAGTCTGGTGTAAAAATGTTTGGTTCTATCCAATGCTTGAGTCTGGTCGAAACGAATGACATGGTTTGTTTGTGTAAGCACGTGTTCAGCAATCACTGATCTATCTATTTGTCCCTGCTGACAGTTTATTTTGTGTTCTTTGACCCTGGTGTTGATAGAGCGTTTGGTTGTTCCAACATAGACAGATCCACAAGAGCGGGGAATTCTATAGACGCCAGGCGTTTCAAGAGGTGCCCTTGGCCGATCTTAGACTGTGCTGAATTGTTTTTGTGGGCTTGTAGATATAGTGTAGGTGCCCAGCGACATAAAGTAGCATTTATGAATACTGCCCTGAAATGTTGTGTGTGGCTTAATTGCGCCTAGTCTACCATCTTTTTCCTTTAGGAAAACTTTCGTAGTGGGGGCTTTTCTTTTTTAGTTTTTCCGAAAACCGACCATTTCGCGTGGTGCAAAAAATTTATAGATATCGTTTTTATTTTTAGTGAAATCGCGAGACAAATTTATGAAAAACGCGAAAAAAAAATGTGTCCGACAAAAATGTTGGACCGTTAAGGGTGTCTACCAAGTCAAACATATCCAATTGACATGTTAAAAAAAATTTTGGATAACGAGCTGATTTTTTCAGAATTACTTAATAAAAATATGAAGAATATAAATATCCAATTGTCCGACATATTACATTTTCCGATTTTCCAGTCCGATGCGGAAAAATCATCGGTTTCACGAAGCCAAAAAATTTACGAATAACAATTTCTTCTTTCAATTTATTGTATTGAAAAGAACTATAGAACATAATGACTAAGTTGTCCGACAGTAAAACATTACCTTATGCGTCAAAAAGAAGCAAAAAATCATAAAATGTGTGGGAGTGGGCCATTTTGATTTCGCCGCATAATAAAAAGTTATATTTGTGCTATCTTTTTTTTTAAAACTTGCATTAACACTGCACAGAACAGTAGTGTTGCATTCTTCGTTTAATTTGCAATGAAAAGTTTTTTCTTCATGTGATGTCTCTTTCATCTGAGAATGTGGAAGCAACGGATGTACCACAATCGTCTAATACTTCCACTTCTAAATGGGAAACACATATGGATGTTGATGATGAGTAAGTAAAAGTAAAATAGTGGGTATTAAATTGAAGAGGTAGTCCATTTCTAAGTGGAGTTTAAATTTAATTCAAAGGAAAGAAAAGGCATGAAGTCTTCCTCTACATTATATATTATACCCCATATGTTTCGAGGATATAAATCCTCATCCTCAGACTCCTCAGAGGCAAAAAAGCTTTAAAAATGGTGAATTAAAATAAAAGTCTAGGACGCCAGATCTCGCATTTGCAATGAGAGAAAAAAAATTAACTAATATACAGAAATTGTATTGCATCAGTTTAAATTCTGTATACTATTTGGGACAGACAAGTATTACTAGTATAAAACGCGTTGTTCTACACTTTTTTTATACCCATCAATATTATTGCTTTATTGCAACTATAATAGAAATTGTAACGAGAATCGAGATTATACCGAAAATAGTATAGTTATTGAATCAGAATTTACATACCCAATGTACGAGTGGTTGTAGTCATTGTACAACTGGTTGAGTAGCCATTATGTAAGTGGTTGTATAGTGTTTTTAAGTTGCAGAATGCCCAATAGCCCCAATATATAAATAGTTGCATGACTCTTGTTAAAGTTGTTGTATAGCTAGTATAATACTGGTTGTGTAGTCACTATACCAGGATTGTTTACCCATGCTACTTATGGTTGTATAGTTATTAAACTATGCTTTCTTTAGCGGCTGCATTATGTGTATACAAGAGTGTGGATTAGTCGATGTACCGATATATTAAAAATCGCGTTGGTCGTCAGTTCAAAAATTTAAGTTTTGACAGAATTTAGTGAAGTAGGTATTTAATTCTGACAAAAATTACATTTCAAAACCGCCAAACCATAATTTGCAATATATCTTCACAACTGGTTAACAAAATTAAAATAAAAATGGAATAATTATTGATAAGTAGAATGATCAACTAAAAACTATACTTATTTATATGTTGTTGGGTATATACTCAAGGGGGTGACTTATAGTCCTGTATGGTAGGTTTATAATTGATGTTTTTGTCGGACAGCAAATTGGTCGCGATATACAGGGTGTCCCACGGTGGATGGCGTATTAGACGTTTATGGAGATCTAAAAAGAGGATCATTTTGAAAATTTGGCAACCGGGATAAACGACCATGATCTACACTTTAAAAATATTTTTGTTTATGCGGTGTTGCCGCTTCTACTCTAAACTAGTGGCAACATCGCTATTTTAAACAGAACACCCTGTATATGATTGCATATTTGGATTCTACGTGAAGTTCTGACCAGATTTCATGTGATATACCCTATACCTAAGTTCAACTGTTTTGGAAATATTGACAGTTGAAAATTGACTTTTTGCAACTATAGGCTTAACGTTGTGTCTTTCTAGCGTACGTCCTATGCGATCTGTGACATTTTTGATATAGGGAAGAAAGGCCTGTGCTGTGCTGGTTCCTTGTTATTCGTGCGCTCTTGTTTCGGTGTTATGGCTGTATGTATCTCCCACTTGGAGTACCCATTTCCTTCAAGTGCTGATTTTAGGTGTTGCATCTCGTCCTGAAGGTATCTGGGTTCACAAATACGGATTGCCCTCTTAGATAGAGTTTTAATGACTCCTCTCTTTTGCCTAGGATGGTGATTAGATTCCTTGCTGAGGTATCTGTCCGTATGCGTCGGCTTCCAATATACTCTAGGTCCCAGTTTACCTGAGGGTAATTCTAAGAGGACGTCGAGGAATGCAATTTTGTTGTCCTTCTCAACTTCCATCGTAAACTGTATCCTGGGTTCTATTGAGTTTAGATAATTAAGGAAGTTTTCGAGCTCTGCCTCTCCATGGTTCCAAACAACAAATGTGTCATCTATATAGCGAAACTAACAAGTAGGTTTCTTTGTGGCCGTTCGCAGTACCATTTGTTCTAAGTGTTCCATGTAGAAGTTGGCGATAACCAGACTGAGTGGACTTGCCATTGCGACTCCATCTGTCTGCTCAAATAATTCATTTTGCCATTGAAAGTACGTAGTCGTCAAACAGTGGTGAAATAAAGTGTTGATATCCTCCGGAAAAACATCTTTCACATACTCTAAGGCCTGATTCACCGGTACCTTAGTAAACAATGAGACGACATCAAAACTAACCAGCCTACCAGATATTTGTACCAGGCTGAGGGTACAAACGAACTTCGAGTGGAAATAAGTTTGTAGTCTGATTTGCACAAAGGTTTCAAACACATCGATCTTGTTAGGATCGGGATTAGTGGTAAAGGAACAAATCAAGTAAATTGGCCTGTTGAGAAAACGTTGAAAAAGTACTTACCGTGCGGCGTGCTGTGTAGTGAAAAAGTTTCAATTCATTGCTACAAATGGTAAGAATATAAAATTTGTGATGAAAAGACTCACCTATTTATTGCATACCTAATTACCTAATAATTAATAATGGCATGATCTAGCATATGATAATACATGTCAATTTGCCGACATGCTTGAAGGTGGCTTGAAGTCTTACTTTACAATATTTTGTAAGTTAGCAGTTAGCGCAACATCAACTAATTTGGCTCACCAGACCAATCAAATCAAGTGAATCAATTTTTTCTTTTGATGTATAAATGAAAGGGTTTAGGGAACGAAAAACTTTCCACCCTGTTTTCTCAGATGTTAGATGAATAATCAAAAATCACTTGGGATACTCGGGCACGTCAAGAAAATTTAAACACGAATTAAAAATTATTTCAATAAATGCTCAAAATGCTCTCATGCACCATTCATTTCCATACATTAATAACCCACCGTAGTTCAAAATGTCTTCCCAAGTAGTTTAGAATAATAACTTTTGTTTTCAAGTGCCCCCGTAGAAAAAGAACTCTAGTGGTGACCAGTCAAGCAATCTTGCCGGCCATTCGATAAATCCTCTTCTTCCAATCCATATCTCTGGAAATATTTCGTCAAGGTATTGTCGGATAAGAAGTGTGAATGAAGAGAGGCACCTTCTTGGTGGGTAAACTTAATCTTCTTCTAAGCCATTTGCAACATTTTCGATGACTTCGACTAGGGTTGCATTTTCGTGAAGTTTCCAGGAAAGAAAAAGTGACAAATTATATGGCTTTCGAAAAATTCCAGCCCAAGTTTATGTAAATACTTGATGAAACATTATGGGATTGGTCGGCCCATTATCGACAATTATGTCGATTATCTATCATCAACAAAAAATGTGCATTCATGTTCATCTCATCCGAAAAACAAATTAAATTGACATCAAATATTTAATTCGTGGTTGTAAATAAAATGAGATTAATAATCAATCTCGACGCTCAATCATGGTAATTTTAATGAGTAGACAACACAAGCAATAAGCTAGGCTACGCATCCATGTCCACTCTTGAAGCCTGATTCTCGTCTCAGGGAGAGGAGAACTCCTTGAGAGAACAAAATTTTTGTTCTTGTCAATATAATCGAAAAGTGAACGAAAAATTTGTTCTCTCGGGGAGCTCTCCTCTCTCTCTGAGACGAGAATCGGGCCCCTGCCGTCTCCCAATCAAGCGTGTACGTATATCCCTCCTCCGGTCGCCGCTAATAACACACTGTCATATAGTTTGCCTACTGAAAACTGAGCCGCAGAAAGAATGCGAACTTGTCTATCTATTACGCTCTATTGCATTTTGATCGTGTCGTGTATCTCCATATCGTTTCACTTCCCCCTTCGGCGACATGCCGGTGAATTGTGTACCATA